CACTCCTATCAATTTTAATGGTTGAGGGACATCTTTCAAAAAAACATAATGGGACAAGAAGATGGATGAGAACATTTGCAGCTAACTGTCTGGAGATAGTGCTGAAGATGTGGTGGGGAGGTGAGAGCAAGGTTCAGCAGCCTTAATGTACCATCCAAGCCATCACAGGTGCTTAATACGGGCATAAAGCAGGGAGGGTGGAGGGCTGCTGGCTCTAGAAGTATCTTTCTTCCATGTGTCTTCCCATTTTAGATTTAGATGCTGATTATTTTCTTAATCAGTCAGGTCACTGGTCTAATTAAAATGACATAAAAACCTCAAAAATGCACATCACAATTTCCTAAAAGCAATCAAAACAGTCCAAAATATGCAGATATTCAAAAGATAAAACAGTGAAAGAAGAAGGTGATCCTCACACTTGGACGGAAACCTGGGAAATTATGCATTCGCCGGAATCTATTATCAAATAATTACTGACAAGGTCACCTCTCGCTTTATATTTTCATGCACGCAGGCTTGAACCTTTGGTAATTATAATAATATCAATAAACTGAAAGTCAAAGGTGCATGTAGCAAACATAATTGGGCCCAGAATGTTTCCTTGAAGAACACCATTATCAAGACTAAACGTCTGTGACAACAAATTCCCCTAAACTAACAAGGGGCTTTCTTCCTGACAAGTAAAAGCACAGCTAATTAGGCACTGCTTTCACATTTTATCCGAGTAACGAGCGAGAGAGAGGAAAAGTTTCTTGACAACTGAAGCTTTGGATGTTCTCCAAGTTTAAGTGAACTTTAAGCAAAAAATAAACTTTTACTTGCACAGCCTTGGACCCCTGAAATAACTTGTCTCACACTTTGCAGCTCTATACACTACATGCAGAGTAATGGCCTTGCTCCAGCAGATAACACACATGTAAATCCCAGCGCAGGCTTTCTGCATGTGATGATCCGGGCAGCCCGGCGCAGCTTGCCAACCTTTTTCTCAGCAAGTCTGGCTGTTGTGATAGCTCCTCAACCTTTTATTGAATGCATATCCATTACACACATGGCCAGTGGTGTTGCAGAAGCAGCAGCAAGTCAGCTGTGTCCTCCTTAGACCCTCTCCGGTCCACAGGTTTCGCATCTGCTGCTGGTACACAAAGCAGAATATCCACCCCTTTTTTTGCAGGACCAACCTCCAGGGAATTGCCTTTCAGCTCAAGAAACAAATTAATTCTCGATCTGCTTTATTTCACGTCCGTGCGTCTCGTCCTGTCAGCCTGGTGACACGGCTCAACGTGACACCGCTAAACTCTGAGATTCCATTACATTACAGTTGGCCTCCTGAGCGCAGTCGCACTCTAAAATTCATGGTTTCTGGTCTTATAGTTAGAATATTCACTAAGACTGTGTTTTTGTTTCCTGGAGAATCGTGTGTGTGTGTGTGTGTGTGTGTGTGTGTGTGTGTGTGTGTGTGTGCTGCGGGTGCCTCATTCTCATTCATATGCATCAGCAAGTTATCAGGGACTGCTGTGCCTCATTGAGCTGAGAAGCTGCTTTCCATTTATTTCTCAAATGCAGTGGAGAGTGATTCTTCTCTTGCCTAATAAAACTTATAAAAGTGGCTGTGCTGCTTTCAAAACTTAGAAAAAAACGAAAGTCAGGCTCATTGGAAAATTACAAAACAGGATAATGAAATATGGAGGTTCTGTGCTCGGCGCAGCAAAGGGTGAAATTCATTACCCAGCAACATTAGGAGCAGCTGGGCGCTACTGTATCCTACCGGCTAAGTTTTGACACCCAATGCAGACATCCTTGGACCTTTGTTTTAATCACAACCCCACTGCGAACAAAAAAGCTTTTTGTCAAAAGACAGCTTAGAGCATTAATGCATCGGCACACTGTGAAAGCCTCATCCCAACTCTGATCCACTGTACGCTGCATTGCTCTTCTCATCAACATCTGCCATCTTGCTAATTAGGCTCCAAAAAGCCACACATCACTGGGTTTTAGTGGTGCACAGACAACGTGTGACACTCACGAGGGGAGCTCACGGACACAATGGGAATTACAAAGCCCCGCCAGATCACAGAGCGAATCAACTACAGTATGTTGATGTGTGCAAAAAAAAATGCTCCGAGCAGCCGCCTGGTGCAGAATTCAAACTGCAAATGTCTCGCTGACCAGAGTGGGAGAGATGCTCAACCTCAGGCCAATAAATTCAACAAGGTTCCACCGTCCTCGACCAGATATGAAAGTGAAAACTTCTTCAAGACAGTCACTGGAGGTTGGAATCTAGCAGAGAGCAGCAAGAGCAAAGGCCAAAAGAAAAGCAATCAAAGAAGAAGAGCGATCAAGGGGATCAAAAAAAAGAGAAAGAATAGAGATAAGAAGACAAAGAAAGAAATATGGACGAGTGTTCATCAGTGGTAGGTGGAAAAATAAATCTGAACTTTGGAAAGCGAGAAAAAGAACAAGGCTGCAAGAAGATTCCTGTGTCCTCTTGTCCAGGCAAGAGAACTGATTCAATAAATAAAAAATGTCAGCGTGGTGAGATAGCTTTGCAGGCCAGCTGAGAAAGGTGAACACATTTCCATGCAGAACACTCGCAGCCATGAGAACAGAGGAAAGCGGGGAACGCGAGAGAGAGTGAGGGAGCCTGCTAGTCATAAATCTCCCACAGCTTGTGGGGTCAGGCAGACAGAGAGAGTGTCAAAATTGTTTCTGGGTGTGAAGGGAAGGGGAGGAAGGTGGCTAACCAACCCCTGCGACTGACTCCTGCTCTTCAAATCAACCTGCCACAAGGCTGGTCAGTCACGCTGTGGCGCCAGCAAGCCACTTCTACCTCATTTGCATACGCACATTCGTCGACTCTGCATAATCACAGGAGAGCACTGAGTGTGTGTGTGTGTGTGTCGGGGGGGATTGTGTTTCTGAACAAAAAGACAAACTGAGAGAGGATGATAGAGGGAAAAAAAAAAAAAAAACGTGCAGCGAGGGTGAAAGCTGAGCAAGCTAGACAGACGACATGTAAGAAAGAGGATTAGGTTGCCGGTGGTGTGAGCGGTGAGTAAAGCTTCCCACTGTCACAACACTCTTTCCTGACCACAAAGACACGGTGACATACTTGTATAGCTGCAAAGAGAGCTCCTCTACCTGAAGAGACTCTCCTCCCTGTCCTACTCTCTTCTACCCATTGTGTTGATGCTTTTTCGGTATTTGCAGTGCTGCTGCTGAGGATCTGCTGCTTGTTTTGTTGTCTCGGAGGACATGTGCGAGCATGTGCACAGATGCAAGACAGTGAGAGGAGGTGGTTTACTACGAGGTGTACAGTTTCTTATTAGTAAAAGAGTCAAACGGCCCACTTCTTTCTTCTCTTGCTCTTCTCTTTATTCCCGTCCCTGTGTTAATGATGCTTCACCTGCCCTGCTTCCTTTCCTTAATCTCCTTTCTACCCTTTAACAGCTTACTCTGTATTCCCACCTCAGTCTTTATCCTCATACTCTACATCCTTCCCTCCCACAGTGGTGATCAGACAGTAGGTGCTGATGTTGCAGCTCGTGCCTGAACCAGCTCAGTATATCAGTGGGTGGACAGACACGCCAGAGAGCTCTTGTCAACGGCGACGGTGCCCTGGAGACTGGCCCACTTGGCGGATACTGATCCTCTCTGCTTAACCACGAGGAAAGGAGTCAACACAATTTCTTAACAACTGGTGCAGAGAGAGAGGTGCAAAAGCCAAGATAAGCACCAAGACAGCACTATTTTTATGATCCTTCTGTGGAGAGGCAGCGGCTCCCTACTCATCCTTCAGGGTCCCCTGACAGTTCTGTCTGTTTGCTAATATTAAACAGACCATTAGTGAACCTGTTTCACTGCTGATCTACAAGCTTGCAGTGCACGTCCAGTGTAGCACCTTTTTCCAATCATTAATGCGGCTCAGGATCTCGCTGACGGCGTCCGTCACCGGAGTTTGGCAGCACCTCAAGTTGCGCGTTAGCTGAAAACTACAGGCGGTGCTGGTTAACCCAAGCTAGTTTACCTCCCTCGCCGCTTCTCCTCTCCCCCGTCACATCACAAGGGTAAAGAGAGACATTTCACGTCTAATTAATGCACAGGATGGTTGTATAAAACGGCTAATGAGGCTGTGATCACAGTGGCGTGAAGGCAGGCGCTACTGCAGGGGAGGGGATGAGCACTACTCCACTTCCTCGAGACGCAGAGCTTCACAGTTATTAGTCTGTCATAAGACGAGGGCTGATGAGGAGAGTGGAGGTGGTTAGGTGAACGCTTGTTTATCTGTTTGGCTTCCCCTCAGTCGATGAGATGTGAACTCTGTCTACTTGCCGGCTATGTGACTAAATGACCACAGTTAGTTGTATAAAAACCTTGTATCCAAACAAGTGGTTATCATAAAGTAAAAACCCCTCTTGCAGTACTGGAAGTCTAACATAGCATAAGATTAGGACTGGCATAAATGGTACAATCAGGTGCTCCAACATTCATTTTTAGTGCAGAAATATAGAACATTAAATAAAGTGTTCTCTAAAAAACCTGCTTGTACAACAATAAGTGTAATAACGACACCAAAAGTGCCAAAAAGAAAACTTTCCAAGACAAAACACGCTCTACAACATGTTCCGAACATCATCCGTGGAAGAAATTGGCACAAAAACACCATGTAGTAGCACTCTGGCTCTACTATTCCACAAAAAAAAAACTTGCTCCCTCAGCACAGCTCCTCCAGCAGGATGAATGGGCTGCACACGAGCTGCTCTCTAAGCAACTGCTCATTACTCAGAACACATCTGCTGGCGACTAGGAAGCACCTCTCTCCATTACGGTGCCTCACTTTCATTTTACACATTAATCCCTCATTCATACCTTTCCCATCTGCTGCCTAAAATACTCCCAACAAGGCTCCTGGACTAGAACTGCTCTCTTCACAGCTCGCATAATGAATCACGCACACAACAACACGCACACTCGATGCCAGAGTCGGCCGTGCCTGCGCTCACCTGTGCAATCTCATACAGCAGCTTGTAGTGTTCCTCTCGCTTCTGTAAAGTGCACAGATTGCAGCCCATTATAGTCGTCGTGGAAACGCCAGGCGTCCAATTCTCCCCGAGCAGTGGTGGTACGGACACAGGGGGTCACCCTCCACACCGGAGCGCTGGTTCTCATCAGTCACTCCTTAGCAAGCATCTCTCTCTTTTCAGGCAGCCCATTCACACATTCAGACAGTCACAAACAAGCCCAGTTTAGAGGAACAGAAGAGCTCCAGCTGAGTGGAACAGAAGAAGGTTCAGATGTGAACAGCAGCTTCAGCAGTGGCACAAGTAGCAGCAGCCGTTTCAGCATCAGCCGGGGGTGTCTCCTCTCTCCTCTCTGCCTCTGTTTCAGACTCACACACACTTGCACACGCTCACACACCAGAGTTGTGACTCTCGCTCGCTGAGACACTCCCCCCTTTTTCTTCCTCGGTCTCGGCGCACATGACTACGCCGATACCAGCTCATGAATAATGAGGGCACAGTGCTGTGATATTCATGAGGAAGGTGGGAGAAGGGGAGGGGAATGAAGGAGGAAGGAGGAGTGTGGAGCCGGAGCGCCGCTTCATTAAAACTAAGGCACAGTTACACAATAAGCTCCTTTGTGTGAGCAGCTCCGGTGAGAAGCTTGGGCAGGGCTGGCTGCACCGAGACGGCACACTGCAGGCAGAGGAAGGTTTTTCTGAGGTTAAAATATAACCTACCTGCATGAAGGTTAGTCGTTGAGAGTTTATCTGCTTCACCACAGGAGGACATGTAGGACATGTTTATGTCTCCTGGAAATTTGGACTCTCGCTGGTTAAGGAGAAATCAAGTCGTCAACACCATAACAGCACATAGTTGTAACAGGCTGATTACTGAAATTAATTTGTGTTGACTGATATTTTAATACATCTCCAAAAATTTTCTAAAACATAATTTTGGTAATCAATTAAATTCTTGCAATTATTAATAAAAAATGGTTAACTTTTGCTTGTTTGCAGCGTCCTAATTATGTTTTTTTAAATTAGTGTACAAAGAATGTCTATATTTTTTATTACTTTATTATCTTTTGGTTAGAGAGTTCAATAATTAATTTAAAAAATGTAAGCACAATGTTTCTTTTCTTTAAATTTTACTATTTTGAGCTGCAGGTGTTGGACAGAACAACCAAACCACCCATGTTTCACATTTTTCCTCCGTTTTATTGACCCAACTATTCACAGCTAAATGAGAAAATAATCTGCCACTGAATCAATGAAAAAAATAATTGCTACCTGTAGCCCCGCTTATAATGAAGAGATGAGAAATTCAGGTCCTTCTGCATCATTACAGCACACTATGCAGTGTTTCAGGAGTACACGCGGTTAATGAACTGCAGCGCTACAGTATCCAACTTTCCGTTAGGTGAAATATGAATTGTCACAGACAACAAGTGATGAGAAGTCAGAAACAATATATTGCATATTTAGAACTCAGGCACTACAGGTGTTGCTGATAATGGGGGTCCTCCCAGCAAATTGGCAATCAGCAAAGCCAGAGACTTCAGAGACAATATATCAACCAGTGCCTTCTCTCAGACTGCGATAATTGCAAGACAATAGACCCCGGCTATTGTCTCAGCTATGAAACCTCCTTCCACTATCAGGAAACTACACTAACGAGCAATAACTGTTAACAAATTGGCCTCCCAGCCAACAGCGGAGCTCACTGTGCAGCGTACAGCTAAGAGTAGATGAGCGCTCATCAGCTGGCTACTGGGCATCCCGCCCCCGGGGACTCCGTAATCCGATTTTCCGGGCTTTAATTTTGCTCCACTGCCTGGAGGCAAGCCAAACAGAAAGCTACATCACCATTATGATTAATACCATCCTTCCTCTTCATCTCGACCATCCAAAGCGTTCGCCCGACCAGCCGCTCCTCAGCCTGAAGAAGCCACTAGGAGTGGGCTTTCTGCCGTTGCCAGGCAATATAAAAACCCATGAAGTGCTGTTCACTAAAGTGTCAATTTGACATCAAAGAATCTTGTTGGGAGACTGGGGAGCGGGAATTGAATACTACATTTGATGAACAGAGGCGCTGTGTTTGCTTGCGGTACAATGGACTGTGGAAAAAATGTGAGTCAGAGGCAGTCTTCTGAAATTGTATATCAAGGACCAAAGCTATGAAGTGCTTGTGAGCAAGAAGCACTGGCCGTCTGGTTGCCTTTAGTCAGCAGAGATTGAAAATATAAAACCATCAGTTTCTTCCCTGCATAGAAGTACAAATATTACAGAGAATCTGCTGACAGGATTGAATATTGGTACACATGTTTTCAGGGTGCAGGCCTGGATGACCATCAGTCTGTGATGGTGCACTCGGTGACCCCTAAAGGTTAAGATGCTCATCGTTCACCCAAATGGTCTTTCCCATCATCTGTGAAGCGAGACCGATACAGTAGCCCCTGCCTGCGGTCAGGCAGCAGCTCTCCATGGCACATGCAGATTGAAGGATGCTCTTTGAAGAGTGCATTAAGACTGATAAAAGCTCTTCTGACGTGCTTTATGGTCATGAGTTTTACAGTGTGACAGGGTGAATTTACCTGAGACTGCATTTCCAACGCAACCCCAGGGCAACGCTTCCACATTATAGTTACATTTAGCAAAACCATTCACTTTCTAACAAGGTGAATCCCTACTGGATGTATAATTTGTCTTCCCATGTGTCCCTTTAAGACTGTGTAAGTTGTGATTAATGTTAAAAATATGGGGAACTTAACAGAATTTATTGTTGAACATTTATATGGAAAATGAAAGCAGTTATTGTGTATAAAGTCTGTATTTCATATTGATGGACAGCGATTCCGTCTCCTTCTTGTGTCCTTTCTCAGCCGTCCTTTCCTCTTGTCCGGCTATCGTTCATCATCCAGTCTGCCCTTTGCCTGCTCGGGTAGAAACGGACCCTTAGTCCTGCTCATTCTCTCAGTTAATGGGCCTCGCATCACGGCGAATGGACGGTGAAGCCATTTGTCCTCAGTGTGATGGGTGCATTTTGAGGTTTCTTTAACTGCATTTCTCACAAACTGATATTTGAGCTTACCTTAAACCTGGAGGTATAACCTTCAGTCAAGTGTGTAATGAAGGTAGATGGGCTGCTTGTAAACCTTTGTGAACTCAGACATTTTCTCTGTCTGCTCCTAAATGCACACACATACAGGCTCACAAACAGTGAAATGAGTTAACAAAAACGCAACTGATCAGAATGCTGCTAGAGTGGAATATAAAATCATAATCAGTGCTCTACCACTAACTGTATTTGTATTGATTTCTTGTCTGGGTATAAACACAGCAGACCATCACTCAGAGCACAAAAAGTTGGATCAATTCAATATTCCACTGCATGCATTGCATATGAATGACTTTTAACATTTCTTTTCCACTCTGGCAACAACTTTTCAAGACAATTGCGGCTGCCAATCACTTCTATTGTGAGGAAAGCTGTCGGGCAGCGGCTTAGGCGAGAGAAGACGCTGATATTTAACATTGAGCATTATTAAACTTAAAAGGCAAAAGGCTTAGGTGTAGCCGGGACAGAAAAATAGGGATCATCCCAAGCCAGCGGAAGAGATATCTGTATTCCAGCACTCCTTATGGTAACCTTGACAACAAACAAGAGAACATCTTAAAAGAGCTGGAGATTTAATATGGAGTTATTGCTGTGATTACTTGTCTATGGCAATGTCTGTCAGGAATATCAAGCGTCCCCACAGTGTTTAATACATAAACAGGTTTATTAGGCCAGCTCTGACTCACCAGGTGGGTGGAAATCTCTCTGGTGTGAGCGCTGAAGATTGAAATCCTGTTCACGTGAACAGGAGAGCCGTGGGGATCTGAGAGTGGTTTGTGATTTGATGCGTGGCTCAGATCTGATCACCCACCGCCACCGTAAAGCAGCCGCTTCTCCTGGGGTATCCGTGTGACCCGATTTGAGAGTAATTAAATGAGGGGGGCCTTTTATGAATGAATCATCGTGGCGGCCCGCTCCTCTCATGACAGCTTTGACAGGAATTGGTCCAGCGTGCACACACAAAACGCACAGGTGGGTGCTTCAAAGGCAGCGTAGCCAGACTGTGGGAAGCCAACCAAAACATCTTTCTCAATGACACTAAATTATTAAAAAGGCCTGAATGTTTAATTCACGTGGGAACACGACCATGGATAAAAATAGCACACTGTGGGCTTCCTCGCATGATAACACGGGAGATGTTCCTTTTGAAGCAATCAGCATAATGGCCATCTAATTCATAGCCTGAAAAGCAATTTACTCTCATATTTCTGCCCACACAAAGCGTCATGGCTTTATTTTAAAACACTGCAATTTACACTGATTAATTATGAGTTACTGCATTAATTGACCCTGTGACTAGGCTGTTTAGCTAATAATCACAGTGTATTTACTGCACCAATAATGTGTAATGAGATGTTACTTATGAGCAAAGCACAAACTCTTCTTGCTGGTGTTGTGTGGAGGTAATTTCTAAGAAAACTTAGCACGCAATAAAGAGTCTGTAATAGCCTCTTGCTTGACACTTAGGAACTTCAACTTTGTTTTCCTGCTAATGAGCCTCTTCCCTGAGACTTCACACCACCTCCGAGCCTCCCTTTCACTTCTACACATGAGATACTGTATCACACCCCACAACACAGACGTCGAACATGATAAGGGGTTTAACCCTGATGTCCCCTGTCTGCATGAAGATCAAATGAAGCGCTAATCAGACAGGAAGCTCCAGCTTTTCTGACTTTAAAGCTTCTGAGGAGGCGACACGTGTGAAGCATCAGTTAACTTGGAAGGTGGGAGGGGGAAAAAAAAAGCAGACTAGAATAAAAATGTCTGTCTGAGGGATAAGGTTGAAATCAAAGTGTGAGTGGTGCAGCTATGATTTCTGCCCACAACTACAATGTCAGAGCTGGGAGAGGTGGTTTGTGTCGATGTGAAACATACACAATCAGAATTAGGGCTGAGATAAGAATACTGTAAGATAATTTTTTTTTTTTAAATCACTTTGTGCTAGCGAT